ATTACACAATGAGTACATGTTGGTGCTGTCATGATTCCAGGTAACACTATTGAATGACTGTATTTTGGGGAGTTAAGCTACTTTTCATGTCATGATGAATACAGGATTTGTTTGTGGAAGTAATCATCAAGCAAATCCAAAAAAATTCAACAGTAGATCCTGGTTGGTAATGGTATCTACAGAAGTAACTGCAATTTAGGGTCAGCAATGCCAAATTGTGGGCGGAATCTGTGGGTGAGGCTAATGCTAAGCCTTCCCCTGGAATCATATCCCCAAGGCCAGAAGTGCCACATAGCAACAGCTGCCAGTCAATCAAAAGCCAACAGCACTTGTGTTCAACAGATCCACAGAGCAAGACATATTTGCTGCCAGAACAGCTCCCCTCTGGAGTCTCAGGGATTGCACAGAACTTGGAAACAGACGTGGGGAGAGGTGTTCCTTGAGTTGGAAGAGGTTCAGAAGGATGGGCCCCTTTGGGGACACCCTGCCCTATGTCCAGTCTCTCAGTCAGGCACAGATTGAAGGATCCCTGCCACCTCCTACTCCAAGGGGGCAAGCTATCTGCAGGATTAATCCCAGCATAGTAGGATGAGGTTCCTAAGTGGTCCTCAATTTCCTATTAAGGACCTCACTTGGCAGTCGACAATGGGCCTTCCACACCAGCACATGACCACCAAGCTTAAATCATTTCTTGGCATCTTGGATGAGAACTGCTTTTTAAAGTTAGTCCACCACAAAACCACAGATGGAACTAATCATTACCTCTAGGAGGCTAAGGAGGCCCAGGTTTATTGGCTGGTTTGAATGTCAGTCAGGATTGTGAGTCTGCGAAGCACCCTGTCCCAGGTATATATCAACACATGTGACAAACAAGTTGGTCAAGAATTGCTGTTGTTCAGAATAACAGCAATCATTGGTCAAGAGGTCATAGCAGATTGCTCAGAAGCTGCTTGGTTCAGAGCTGACAGATAAACACACACACATGCACATTTGCTGATCGAACACAAATCCCCCTCCTCCCTTCTCCCCAAAATCTGTGCACACTTTAGGTCAGAAAAGAGGTAACTCCCACTTTTGTGTATATTTCACAGGCCACCTCAGAATGTGTGCCATCATAAGGGAACACAAGTTAAACCCAACTCTTTGTTTGGTCTCAGTCTCCTTCCCTTTCCTGGTAGACAGTTTTGTTGTCTAAGACAACAAGGTGCAGGGCTGGATGAACACAGCAGGCCAAGCAGCATCATAGGAGCAGAGTTGTCTAGTTTGTTGTCTAGTTTGTCTCTTTCTCTCTAGTTTTGCTTCTTAAGCGAAAAGGCAAAAATGTTATTATATTAGCTCTGCTGCTTGGCATTTTTAAATGAGCATTTTTATGAATTGCTTGTGTTTAAAATTATCAATTTATTGCTTTAACTTTTTTTTTGCTCAGCAAGTTGTTACATTTTCTTCACACCTTAGCTGGCTTCAGAATTCATGTTTAACTTTGTTTCAAACCAAATCTCAGGCAATTGCTTCTTGGTTACTTGTTGGAGAGGAATGAAAGGCTCAAAATTTGTTCTCCAACAGAAAAGTAAGTGTCAGAAATGCTCAGGAAATCTGGCAGCTTCTGTGCAGAGAGAGACAGAAGCCACTGACCTTTCACCAGAACTAGCACCAGCCATGAACTTGAAGCATTGACCCTGTTTCTGTGTTCACAGATGCTGTATGGCCTGCTGAGTACTTCTGGCATTTACTGTTTATTTTTAAGATTTCTACTATCTTAAGTGTTTTGATGTCCTATAGTATTCTTCATCCTGTCACTTGTAATGTGGTGAGTTTCAGTTAACACGATCATTCAATGTAAAGTGTTATTTTTCTGTTAACAAAGTCCTGTGGACGTTGCTGTCCAGATACTGCGTGGGCTTATGTTCAAAGAAATGGAATTGGTTGCAGAATATGAATGACAAAGTTTTGTGCGATAGTCTGACAAAGCAATGGTTGTAAAATATATCATACTCAAACCTGAGCTTTTCATGTGCTTTATCAATACATGCATAGAATACAAAAGTCATGTGGTTTATCAACCCTACATAAGGCATTTCAAACCCACTGTGACTGCGGTTCCAAATTCTGAACACCTGAGGATGTAAGGAGTGGAGAAAGGATTAAGCAGCCCAGAGAAAGGAAAAACATCAAGGCCTATGATGTCTGCCTCCTGCCACCAATTGAAACTCAATGTCAGCTGGCTGGCTGAGGTCCTTAATTGGCCATTAACCTCTGGTCTCGAGACTGTCCTCAACCTTTCTTGCTCTAGATTTAATCAGAGGGAATCTTGAAAGTCTCCATTTTCCCACCTAATTCCAGCCCACTGTCAGTTGGGGGTGTGGGAGAAGGGGCGGAGAAGAGTATAGCATAAAAATGCTTTGAAATGTAACATTTTTCAGCATGACAGGGAGGGGAGGTGGAGGGCGAAAGAACTAATCAGCAAACCTGTGATATGATAGAAAATAGGAATGATTAAATAATAAGTGGGACAAAAATGGAAGTTACCGCTAGTTGAAAAACAAAAGATGCAAATTTTAAAACTGTGTCCTGTACACCCAACTTTAAATCATTAATATAGATAAAGAAAAACAACAGCATTACATTGATTCTTAGGTGAAGTGACTATGGAGCTTCTTTAGATCTCATACTTGTTCTACCTTATTTCAGATATTGAAGTCCCCCACTGTAACAGCAGCAGTTTCTGGTGGCAATTCTGTGATTGCTATTTACACTTCCTCTAGATACTTTTGTTTTTATTCGTCCCATTACATATGGAGATTTGCAAAGATGATGAGTAGCACAAATTTATCTTTTCAGAACACAACACTTACAAATGATTAGAAAATGAAAGGAATCTAAAGCTCCTATTTTAAATATGAGTGTAGTATAAAGAACAATGAAAATGGCTCATTTCAAAAGTTACAGTCACAGAATTGCTATGGTGCAGAAGGAGGTCATTTATCTCATCTTGTTTGCACCAGCTCTTCAAATAAGCATCAATACTTGGTGCAAATCTCCTAATTTGTTCCCACACTCCTGCACAATATATTTATCCAAACAATCATCCAATGCCCTCTTGAATACCTCAACTGAACCTGCCTCCACCACATTTTCAGGCAGTGCATTCCAGGTTCCATTTTATTTCATAGTGGAAACTGCAAACAAACCCAGAAATCTCAAAGCTCATCCCAGAAGATAGCACTTTCCATTTTTAAGAATTAAGCAGCTTGCATTTTGAGCACGTGCAGTTCGCAAAGGAAGTTGGTAATTTAAATCACCATCTGCCTTCACGACAATGTGAAACCCAACCTGAATTTTGCAGAAATGACCTGGTAAGACCAGGCCTGAGCTTTGTGCATTTCTTTGGAATAGCCAGGGTACCTCTTTTAAGAGTTAACATGTCCCTTTGGATATTGTCCTAAGGCACCATTCGGGAGTAGTCACATACCCTTTATTGGAGTTGAAGCGCCCTTTGGAATTGTTAAAAAAAGGCTTGACTGTTCCTAAAAAGTGAACAAACCCATTCACTGACAAGCTTGTGGGAACTGTTAAGCAGACCTGTCAAAACTATCAAAAGGACATTTAATCATGTCAATGGGAACAGTCATAGAGTGGAGTGGAGTTGTACAGCATGGAAACAGACCCTTCGGTCCAACTCGTCCATGCTGACCAGATATCCTGAATTAATTTCAAAAGCATCTATCAAGGGCATTTAAATGTCCTGCCCTTTAAATCTTTCAAAACAAACTGTCTGGAGAAATCAGTACTTGATTTTTCACCCTGTCAGCTGACGTAAGCCTGAGGGGTGGCATGGTAGCTTAGTGGCTAACACTGCTGCCTCACAGTACCAGGAACCCAGGTTTGATTCCACCTCGGGCAACCGTGTTGAGTTTGCACATTCTCCCCATGTCTGCATGGGTTTCCTCCCACATTCGAATGTTGTGCAAGTTAGGTGGACTGGCTATGCTTAATTGCCAAGAGTGTCCAGCGTTGTGTAGGCTAGTTCGATTAGCCATGGAAAATGCAGGGTTATGGGGATTGGGTGGGGAAGTAGGTCTGGGTGGGATGCTCTTCAGAGGGTCAGCATGGACTCGATGGGCTGAATAGCCTGCTTCCCCACTGTAGGGATTCTATGAATTCCATTCCTGCATTGCTGCTGCATGAATGATTTCACAACCACCCATTACCATAATTAAGTGCACAATGTGATTGACAGTTCAGGATGGTTATAAACCAATAGTAGCTATTGTAAGGCTTATGAAGGTGATGGAATGTATATGTAGCAAGTAGGCTTTTATGAAGGAGAGCTCCTTTTTAATACAGCAAATTCTTCAATAGATACAACATAAATTTATAGAACTTTTTTTTAATCTTTGATGCATGCATCTTGAGGTCTTCTCTTGACATACAGTGGATGAATCAACATGGTAGGTTTAGGCTGAAAGGTGTTAAGGGCATGGGTTGGCATGAATTGTCACTGAGTTGTCACAGGTGCTAAAAAGAATCATGGAGTTGGGCAGTGTGCATACATTCATATGAAGGATATAAGCAATTATGTGCTCATAATTACTCGTATGCTGGTATGGAGACCATGATGAGTTATGGGGTGGATACAGGGTCATACTTTGACAGGGAGTAAGGGATTATGGGGTTGGGTACAGGGCATGAGATGGCATGGATGCATTGGGGAGTATGTGGGGATAAGAACTGGAGGGATGTTTTCTGTTTAATTATTTAGGGGAAAAGAAAGACTTTGAACAGGCTTCCATCCAGCCCATCTCCACATATGGCATCCATGTAAACACTTCTGGGGTTGCCATCCCTACTTCTAATAGGGAGTATTACTCCTAATAATTCTTCAGACACTGTACACTGATGCTCGCTTGAAATTGCATGCCATTGACAAGAATATTACTTGGTGTAAACTTATCATTCTGATGAATTTTTATAAATCAAGAGAAATCCAGAAATATCATTACCCTAAATAATTCGCCATCTCTTCCACCTTCCAATAAGCCATAGAATGGAATTAATTCCTCTCCTCCAAGTGCAGTTACTGCTTCATGGGCCCTTCAATATCAGAAAATAAGTAATTTCTTTCTCACCTCTACATTTAACATTCTAATGATACAGATTATAATGAAACAATAGCATTGAATGTTCCATTATTGCAAAGATAGTTAATGGCCCCAAAAATAAAACTCCTATTAGTT